TACGGATCCAGAACTGAATTTTTTAAAACAAAATGGCCGCCAGTCGGCCATTTCAAACCCGATCCCCCCAAAAAAATGACGTGCATCAAGGTCCTATTATGTTTAATGTATGTACCAAATTTGAACAAAATCCATCCATGCATAACTGAGATCCGGGTCCGGAATGGTGAAAATGTGTGATTTTGATGCATTTTCGGCCTTAAAATGGCCGCTATTCGGCTATCGTTAATCGGATCATGAAAAAAATGCATGTGCATATGTCCCATATAATGTGTGATGTATGAGTGAAGTTTGAACTTAATCGGTCCATGCATGTTCGAGATACAGGTGATCACGAACGGACGGACGGACGAACGAACGGACGCACACAGGGCAAAACATAAGTCCCCGTTTTCGGACTACGTCCGAACGGGGACTAAAAAGACACTGTAATGCAACTACTGAGCAAGTACGTGAGCATACCAAAATATGCAATGCATTATGGGACAGAAATTATCATTGGAAGAATATTAGTGTGTAATTTTTTTTGTAACAATATTAGGTTGTTTTTCAATAACAATACCATTATTTGCGAAATTGGAAGCGCATCTGTAACAGAAGTGTGCATGCATCAGTGTATTTTTGATTCTTAAGATATGACTTATTTTGACATCTGTCATTTACATAAGCACATGTGCTATTACTGTAATAGCGAAAACATAGTATAAGACTTTTTAAATCATGTCAAAAAACAAAATTTTAAGGAAACAAAAAAATACATTCAACCCCAAAACCCAATGCAAAAACAAATACATCATGCAAATTACGCTGTGTTTTAAAAACACTGGTGACCCAGATTTTGTCATAACAACACCTCCTTTGGATCGCACACTATGTTTTCCAGCTATGAATGCCACGAGCCTGGAAAGAACCGTTACTTTTTTTTCTAAATCAAACTGATAATCTCCAGAATAATGTATGACGCTCACCCTGTAAAATACTTTATTTTAGCTGGAATTAATTTTCGCTGAAAAGACTTTTTGGATGTTATGTATGGATTTTTTTTTTGTGACAAGTTGAATATTAATATAGGTATATTTTTTCACTGAATCATTCCTTCAGCGAAAATTAATTCCAAGTGAAAATAAAGTATTTTACAGTGATACAGTATTGTGATGGCTTACATGACCCAGTCCTTTACAGAGAACAAACAGTGCAAACAGATGACGATCACATCCATATCCACTCATACAATCACGATATATCTTTTGATGTGCCTCCGCAGCCTGCCTCATCAGACGAATCTTTTCATCTGATGTCTTATCGTTATCCTCCATCGCCCTAGAAACAGAAATATGAAGTTTGTAAGTTAAGTTCTAATTTTTTATAAACCACCATTGCTAAGGAGTGTTTTTGAATTCGCCAAAAAACATCTTCTGTTGGTTCAATAGTGAACAAAACTTTTAGAATTGGAACATGATTCAAATAAACACTTACTTAACAAAGAGGCTAGATTCTTTTGTGACCGATCGTACAGTTTCTGTTCTTCCATGTAGGAACAGTCTTGTCATCGAGGATTCATACGTCAAAGCGAAATGACCAGTTTCACGATAATATGCTAACTGCAATGCCAGTTGTATGTAGGCATCTGGACTCACCTATAATTACAAAATAAAATATATTCATTCATTCATGGGCAAAGAAGACCTGGAAGCATGAAAGAAAATAGGCTTTTCAAAATGCCCTGCCACTTCTATCAGTAAAAGTTATAAGCAATGCAAAATTAAAAGAACAATAGAAAAAAAAAAGTTTTAAGGTAACTTTTTGAATGTATGATTGGCGAATGGACATGAAAACAAATCTCTGCATATGTGACACATTATATTGGCTCGCAGGGTACACTGGAACATATCAATTTTAACATTGACTTTTTAGACTTGTTGACTTGAGTACTGAAAGCACATGTACTGCTACACGTTTAGAGCAAATTGCTGCAGGGCTTAAACTTCAGTGAGATGCAAAATGCCAGTGCATTGATACCATCGTGAATATCTTGGTGCCTTTCAATATTCCCTATATTATTCCTATGTGCTAAGACCATTTTATACATTTTGGCCTTGAAAATGAGTACCCTTTCAACTGTCAAGTTTAAGCCCCGCTTGTATTTTGGCTGTGTGAATAGCAATGAATCCCACAAAATAACATTGATCTCGTTACCTTGCATTTCTTAACAAATCCCTTGCCATAATCATCATGGTTGATCACACACAAATCAAGGTCATCGTTATTCTGAAAAGAGACAACGAATTACAACCATGTCATTATGTTAAGTAAAACGCCTCATTCACATGGAACAAAGAGCTTAGGACACAAAGAATTGCGTTAGCACAAAAATCTGCTCCCCGAAAGCCACCCTCAATAATAGAAACCCATCAATCATTTTGAAACACAAGCAGGTCTGACATAATTTCTCAGCACTTTCATAGAAAAAGGGAAAAACTTGTTTGAAGGAAAGACATGGATACTTTTCTAGGGTTTTCTTGAAATTATTCTCTGTAACTGGCTATTCGAAAGTCTGAAGATAAAACTTGTGGTGATACAAACGAAGCTTTTGAACCTCAATTTGTGTATTTCAGCAATTTTTCAATTTAAAAAAGCAGTCTTGGTAAGGCTTAACCGACTGCCTGATGATGACGTTTTTCCCTTTCATTTCGGTAATCTACGTATGCGTACAAGCCGGCAGTGAGTTAACACTATGTAAAAATCATAAAGTCAATGTTACCAATTTGTAAACCATAACAAATATGTATTTGATGGAATCACACGCTCAAATATCAAAACTATTGGTAGAGTTGAATATACCTTGACTGCAAAAGCGAAAGCATTGTTAATGTGCTCAGCAAGGGGTTCAGTAACCTCCCACTGGAGCTGGAATGGATGTCGTACTGCGGCTTGGTCGAAATATGCAAATGGCAAACAGTAACCATTGGGATCATATTTCCCAGACAGAACACTGTAAATAAAGAAAGAAAAAAATTATTTTGCTGACAACATTGCAAAGTAATTCAGTTTCACTGATTTAAAAGTGTAAACCAGTAGAGGGTGGGGGGTTTTACTGATTTGGAATGCACTATACGCAAACCAGTGGGGATAAGTATTTTCACTGGAATGGAATGTACTAAATGCAAACCAGTGATAGGAAAAACATTTCCCCTAGAATTTTTTTTTGCTGATTTATTTTCAACGAAAATAAAGAATTACAATGAATTACTCATTTATTTGATAAAATCACAAGGCGATGAACGCGATTCCGATAGACTTATAGAATGTTATTCAATTATACTATAGCACAGAATGCTATGAATACAGTGTCATCGGTTACTGACAGAAAAGAGCCCTCTTGAGGTGAACATTTACAGAAGAAGGCAGGGGTGGTATATTGTATTGAAAATAATGTAGAAACATTTCATTTCGTGTGTGTTTTATTTCACGGTTTTGAGCTGTTTAAGCTTTTCGCAACTTGTTTAAATTTAAAGGTTGGTGAATAAAAAAAACAAAGGGTAACACACCACATGAAGCAGTCAGTCAATGTGCAGCCTCCAGCAGAACGGGTATTTCCTGCAGGGCCATCCATACCAGTAATCACAATCATTGTATGAAACTAGTGTGTATGTACTTTAATATTGATTCTGGATCAGGAGTGAGTGTTGTTTTGATTGTGTTTTACATTCCAACGTCATACAGACAGCTTTTGGTCTTACTGCTGATTTTGCGAAATTAAAACCACATGAATATTTCCTACTTCTACAGTAATAACAACTTAATCAGGAGTGTAGTAATCATAGAGGGCAGGTAAATCCCTTTTGGGGGGGCAATAACCAAGCAATACATGTATTTTCATCAAACAAACATAAAAAATAATAAAAATACAAGCAAAACCAGAAAAAGGGAAATATGATTAGTGGGGTAGTGTAGTTGTACTCTGAAGACTTACTTTCAGGTTAATTTAATTTTACTGATTTGATTATAAGAATATTGGAGAATAAAAACTGTGAATCTTGGAATTCAAATTGTGAATCTTTGGATTTGAATTGTGAATCTTTGAATTTGAATTGTGAATCTTTGAATTTGAATTGTTAATCTCTGGATCCAAATTGTAAAATCTCTGGATTTAAAATTGTAAATCTCTGAATTCAAATTGTGAATCTCTGAATTCAAATTGTGAATCTCTGAATTCAAATTGTGAATCTCTGAATTTAAATTGTGAATCTCTGAATTCAAACTGTGAATCTCTGAATTCAAACTGTGAATCTGCATACGCAAGAAGAAGATTCAAAAGTGATAGCAAAAAAAATGTGAACAATCAAATGGGACGCAGAAACAATCACCAACATTCAGACAAAAAGCTGATTACATGAAACATGTTATGAAGGGCACCACAATTCATGCATATTCATACCATTAAATATGTCACATGACAGTCCCAATAAAACACCAATAAAAGTACTGTAAAATACTTTATTTTAGCTGGAATTAATTTTCACTGAATAGATTTTTTGGGTGTATTGTATGGAATTTATTTTCACAGATTTTTGTTGAGTTGAATGTCAAATATAGGAAAAAAAGGTATATTCAAGAAATTTTATTTTCACTGAACCATTCCTTTAATGAAAATAGCGAAAATCAATTCAAAGCGAAAATAAAGTATTCCACAGTATCACTTTATCATGTACCGGTTAAATTGAATTGGTTACATAGAAGATTGACGAAGCTATACTGGAAGGTTTTGATAGTGATGCATACTGTACTCACCCAGTTTGTGAAGGTACACCAGGAATTCTGTGAAGTGGAACAAAAGTGCAGAGAAACATAGTGAAGGACTAATAGAGCTAGCAGTGTCAGTGAAGAGACAATCAAAATCTCATCACAATCAGACAACAAAGCGTAGAACAAGTGCATTAAAAGTGATTTATCAGATGAATATGTTGGTTAGTAAAAGACCAAAAGTATCGTATTTTCTCTATTTGTAGTACATACACTTATGTATATTACAGAGGTGTTACTATGGAGAAAATGAATCATATTTTAAAGCGGGGGAGTCGTCACCTGCGCATGCGTCAAATGGCCATAGCGGGTCATTGTGTACAAACACGCGTCTACCCATGAGCCTTTATGTTTTTAGCGTGTGTTGTTATTGTCGTTTGGGACTCAATTCCCGCGCGTACACAGGTGACGACCATCCCGCTTTAATGACTCAGTATAAATCAGTACAATTTTTGGTTTACATGTGCTTCTATTGAAATATGCACTTCTAATAGAGCAAATACAGTATCAATATTAGTCTAAGGGTTAGGGCTAGGGCTAGGTTAAAATAAGGATTTGTCCTGTGAGTACGTGTATGCATTACTCTATATACTAAAAGCAATATCTGATGGTGTCTGTATGCTCCAAAATGGTGATGAAATTTAGTAAAAATATAACAAATTATGGCAATATACATGTATGCAGTAACTTTTGGGCACACAAAGGGTCAATCAAATCAGTCAATTTCATGTAACATATTAATATAAAACGATTAAAAATGCTGCAAAAATTATTGTTTTATTTTTGCCACTATCGGTTTTCACAATTTGATAAGGGAAGAGTAGGAAATCAAACTCGCGGTTTACCGCGGTCATTACCGCGGTGGTGGTGGGTGCTCGCCGGTCGACCGCATTTTATGCAAATTTATGCATAGATTCCATGACCCCGGTTTACCGCGGTCGTGTGCGGTAGGCTCGCATGGCAATTTACACCCTATTGTTAAGACTATGAATGGACACAATAGACTGGGAAACTAAAGGTTACTTGCCGCCAAGTTCAAATAATAAAATCGAGTGGTACCAGAAGATTGGAAAAATCGTCTATATTAGTTTGCAGAAGAACACTATTTTATTTTCACAAGTCTTGGTATAACATCGCAAAGTAACCCAGAATAATGTAGACCCCACAATAAAAATTTAATCACATTATTTTGAATTTACATCATGTATAGTCTCAGGATTTATTTTAAAAGATTAATGTTTCGCGTATACCAATATAATCGGGCGAAGTACAAATTCCGAGTGTAAAACACTCGATGAGAGGCCGCAGTTTACGTTACCTCGAGACCATGCACTAAGTAGGAAAAGCAATACAATATATACTACAACAACTGGGTGATCAGCGAAAAAAATAGCGCACTTCTTGGTGAAACTGACTAATCTAATAAACCTTGGCCCAAGTTTAACCCCAAGTCACGCGCTGAACAAGTGGGTTGTTATCTTTGTGACCATTCGCGCTCCGCGCGTTGACCTTTTTATTATGCACATCCCATTACGCAAATTTTTACTGGCTCTGCGTTGCCTACGTAAAAATTGTTACCGTTCTGGTTGTGAATATTTCACCATTGCCAACGTGATAATGCGTTGCCTTCA